TGAAAAAAAAAAAGAGAGAGAGAACTAACAGAGACTTAGAGGTAAGAGGCAGGAAACTTGAGGAAGATAAGCTAGAATGTTGGAGTATGTTTCCCTTCAAATCTTCTGCATGTCTGCCCACTTCCACCTTCTCCAACCACAGTGATTGCCCCCAAACCACGCTACATGTGAACTCTGGTTGTGGCCAGTTGAGAATTTCTGAGGCAGGGGCGTATCAACAGCTTTTGCAGAAAGGGGAAGTGAAATAGTCAGGGGCAGCTTTCTCTTTTCCTGCTGCCTGGGTCGGCAGGTCACACCAAGCCAGCTCCCTCCACCTCTGTTTCCTGGTAGCAGCTTTAGGCTGCTGTCTGTGTTACCCATTAACCAGGCACTAATATTTCTGTTTACCCATCTGTCATCCTGCTTTGAGGCAAGAGATTCAGACAAGTCTCACAATTGTACAGCCACCCCGATGGTCTTGGATCAGGCCCAGCCAGCCATATTTAGCTAGTGTTTATCACATCCAAAGCCCTGTGCAAGAGCCTTGTACTATCTGTAGCCAGGGAAAGATAAAGATTTCCCCCAGGAAGATGTGCTCTGCCTGCCAAGTAGAGCACAAGAGCTGATTATTAGTATAGCTTGCCAAATCCATGTTCGGCATCACGATAGAAATTAGCCCGGGTTGGGGGGAATGTATATTCCACATAAATTGGCAAGGACCACGAAGCAGGGCATTTTGTCCCCTCTCCCCCTCTGCCTCCCTGCCCTAGTTTTCCTACTACCAAGATCTGGTCATTAAACATTGTCCAGCATACCACTGGGAACATGCATTTACTCAGTAAGAGAAAGATAACTTGTAAGGCCTCTCCCTGGCTATTTGATCCTTGGGTGACTAATCCTCATGGGAAAAGAAATAGTCCCCCTTTCAGGGAGCTGCTCACCCGGTGAAACTCCTTTGCATTTGCACACCATTCTACAGTTTCTTGCCTCTGCCATAAATATTATCTCTCTGACCCTAACCAGCATCCCTTCAGTGCACAGCTGCGAGAGTGGACTTCTTACAACGGAAATCAGACCTGGGGGTGTTGGTCAGTGATAAAGCATGTGTTTCATATGCGAGAGACCCTCAGTTTGATCCCCAGCATGGCAAGGAAAAAAGTGGAAATCAAGGAATTCTACTCTCTTTCTTCAAATCCTTGGAAAGTTTCCAGAATTTGAATGACTTCCAGAAGCTCTTAGAATACGTTCAAACTCTTTTCTCTGCCCTCAAGGGCTTTGTAGGGTCTGGTCTTTGCTCCCCTTGACCTTATTTCTGTTACTCCCCTGGTTCACAATTTTACTGCCCAGACTTCAAAGCGTGGTCTCTGACCCAGCAGCGTCAGTATCACCCAGTCACTCGTTAGAAAGGCAACCAGGCGTACCGTGAGTTTGTTCCCAGATAAGGTCAACATTTCAATCAGTAGGCTGCTAAAGCATATTGCCCTTCACACCGCGAGTGGACACCATCCAATTGGCTGAGGGCGTGAAAGGAACAAAAAGGTACGGGAAAGGAGAACTTGCTGTCTCAGCCCAACAGCTTGAGCGTGGCCCTGGGTTTCTGTCCTCATTCTAACATCCATTCTCCCGTGTTTCAGGCCTTCTGACTTGGACTGAAGCAACACTACCTGCTTCTTTGGGGTTCCAACTTGCAGGTGGCAGATTCTCAGCCCCTACAATAATTGTGTGAGCCAAGGCCTCAAAAAGAATCATACACATTTTTATGTCATTTGTTGTATATCTTCTCTTGGTTCTGTTTCCCTAGAGAACCCTGGCCCGTTACCTAACGATTCTGAAATCCTAGGGGAAGGAGGAGAGTGATCTACAGCTCAAAGCACCCTCCTGGTGATCCTAATACAAGTTCAAGTTTGAAACCACTCTTCTAGCCCCACAGGCCTTCTCTCTGGCTTGGAGTTGCTGATGTTTTCTCCCTCCTCAGGGCCTTTGTACCAGCAGGTCCTGAACTGATAAAGAAGATACATTTGACATATACCAAACAGAGTCCTCCTCAGGCTCGAGGAAGGGTAATTTGTAAGAAAACAAATGTGCCTTGAGACGGTAACGCTAAGTGAAATAAATCAGATGCAGAAGGTTAAATAATCTCATGGTTTCTCCTACTCAAAATATAAATAATTTAAAGAGCAAAATAAAGATTGATGATAGGAAGCAGGGATACTGACTGTGGGAATGGGAAGGAGAGTTGGAGATGGGGGAAGATGGGAAGAAGGGGACAAAAGAGGAAGTAAAAGTGATTAAGATGTGACATGTATAGGTCCCAGTTCCCCAAGATGGGTGTAATTACTATATATCATAAACATATTCTTGTAAAAATATTTTTAAAATAAAAAGGCTGCTCCTCCCATGGGCCTTTGAACAGCAACTCCTTTTGTTTGTCAGGACTGACTCTGGGAAGCCTTTAAACCTTCTCTGCCTCCCATTCTACTTTCTCCTAAACTTTCTTTCTATTCCTTTGTAACTAGGCTCCATCTGCTAGTCTGAAATTACCTTGCTTGTGCACTTGTTTACTTGTTTCTTCACCACTTCTCCTACTTGAATGGAAGCCCCAACAGGGCAGGGGTCTTTTGTTCATTCGGTATCTTCAGCCTCTATCTAGCAAAGTGGTTGGCTGATGTAGATGGTACTTGACTTAAGAAGAGTCAACTTAGGATTTTTCAACTTTAAGGTGCTGCAAAACTCATTCAATAGAACTGTACTTTGCACTGCGGATTTGGATCTTTTCCTGGCGTAGTGCCGTGGAACGTGATGCTCTCCTACAATGCTGGGCACCAGCAGCAAGCTGCAGCAGTTACACTCCACAGCGCTCTGCTTCACTGAGCTATGGTGTTCGGTCAGCTAGGTGTGTTAAACACATTTTAGACTTGCGATGTTTTAAAGGTATGATGGGTTTATCGAAATAAACCCCCATCATAAGACAAGCAGCATCCACAGTAATCAATCTATATTTGCTGAACAAATAAATTACTAATTTCCCAACGAAGAAGTGGGTTGATATACCAAGAGATTTGAAGAAGGTTTAATATTTGGGAGTAGCTACAGCCTCACCATGAAAGTCTCAGACCAGCTCTGGCTATGTCCTAACAACCCCATGAGTCCCCAGATGACTTCATTTTGTACTTTCCAGGTTAACAAGAGCCACTGTGTCCTTGAAGAACCTGAGAATCTTGGAGTTGGAGGAGGCTGACCAGTTCACTCACTCGGCCCTTATCAGATGTGTGTTTCCTCAATGTCCTAACATGGGTGGTTGCTAATTTCTGCCTGAATGTTCCTGGAAATTGGGGAGTGACTGCCTGGCTGGGGGAGTCAGTTCCGTTTAAACAGCCCCAGCTGTTTGAAATCTCTCTCCCTGTTGTGATCTTTGCTCTTTGCTAGGGGGCTGGATAGAATACCTCTCCTGTAGAATGGGCCGTATCCCGTCCCAACCTCATAGCTATGCCATGGCATTCTCTTACTTCCTCTTCTGGGGCAGGGGAAAAAAGCAGGCATTTCGGAGTTGGAAGGCCTGGGTCTGGACTCCCTCTTACATATTGACCTTGGAAAATTACCTTAATTCTCTTTAGCTCCGTGTCTGGCACAGTCTCTGGAATTTAATATGCTTTATTATTATTGTTATGTTGTTTAAAATCTCTAAAACATTTTGTTTCATGTTTCAGGGTTTTATTCCCTGCCTGAATTATTGTCCTTCTTGTAAATGTGTCAGTGCTGAGCATGATTACATTCATCCAATTGGACTGGTATTCTTATCAACTTGTTTAAAGTTGTTTGTCTTAATGCCATCTAAATCAAATTAGCTTTTTAAAGAACCTCTAATTGTGGCAAATTCATAATAAGCTAAAATGTTCCAGAGTTTTTTCTCATATATTCCTGCTAAACCATTCTATAGTTGCTTACCTGAGGACTTCTAATTTGTTACTTATATATTCTTTATTACTTATATTTTTGAAGTGAAGAAACATCTATGCTTCACACAAATTGATATCTCTAGAGCTAAACAATACACAATAATTTCTCAGCAACTTTATATCTACAGTTTTGAGGGTGTGTGTGTGTGTGTGTGTGTCTATATGCCAGGGACAGAACTCAGAATCACATTTCATGCCTCAGAATACTCTTGGGAGATGCACCTTATCTTTGTTACTATGACTTGGAAAGCTTGGCCTTGCTAGTAAGATGCCCAAGTGCTAAAGTTGGGATTCAGAGAATTGCTGGTCCAGATTTCCTCTGAAGAAGGAAACCAGAAAATGAGCTTTTGGGTGGGTGGGAGTAATAAAGACAGGCTTTCCAAAAAAAGCTAATATTGAGGGGGATTTTGTAAGAGGGGTCGAAAGAAGTGATCAGAAGCTTGGGAGTATGGGATGGAGGTGGGGGGAGGCAAATGCAGGAAAAGTCTCTCTGGAGAATAATTTCTTAGACAGATTGGGTTCCTGACAGTTGCTTAGTGAGGCTCACCTGCAGGGGCCCCAGATCCTGTCAATAGTGTGGAAGTGGCTCTCTATTATTTTCGCATCTCCATGTGTAACTGTGATAGGTAGCTCAAGCTGCAGCCCGCAAGGCTGGGGGCTGGAGCGTTAGTTCAACCAGGGATCCTTACTCTGGAGAAATGAGTCAGGGAGGTAGGATTAGGAAGGGAGAAGGCAGGCAAAGGCAGGCAAAGGGATGATAAATTATGAGAGGAGAAGTTTTGATGACAGGGAACTGTGGACTTCTGAGCAAGAGGGAACTTGTTTTAAGCTATTGGGATAGACGGATAGCTCTGAGTTGGCTTTTGCCAGCCTTCCCGCGTCCTCAATCTAATGAGATTCCCTCAGTGTCCTCCCTTGTGTCCCCCTCATTATATTTCCATCTGAAAAGGTCTCTGTGGTTTCCACTGCATCATCTTCTCCCTCTGGCTGTTCCACCTGGTCCTCCCTCCTGTGTTTGTCCCCTCCCTGATGTGCAGAAGTGTTGTAAAAATTGTGGACACTCACTTCACAGTTTTATAATCTTTATTTTCAGTCTGTTGGAACAGATTGTTTTTTCCTGTGCTGGTGAGTGTCACTCTCAGAATGGTGGGTGTCAAGCCACATGTTGGTCTGTGTGGGGTAACATGAAGCGTGAAGGGATCCAGACCTCAGTTTCAAGGGGGAGACCCGATAACATGACAATGAATGAAGCACACATACAAAACAATGGGTCAAACTAATACAGTGAAATCCCCATCAGTAGAGATCTAAGCCCTTCTGGTCCCCTTGGCTCGGCACCCTTTGGAGATTTCCTTGCCCTCATTTAGTATTTCTCTTCCATTTCTTTCCCATTGGCTTCTTGCCAGCACCAACAGCCAGACCAGTGTCTAGGTGCTGTTTCTAAGCTTGTAGCAAGATTGCTTTAGGACTCTGCTTCCGCCAGACCTTTCCCTTCCACCAACTTCCTCACAAAGCCTAAATTTGTATTAGCTACCTTGCTTCTAACATCCTGGCCAGACAGTGCTTCTAGGCCTAGCCATTTCTTCTCATGTCACTGAGCTATGTTCACTTAGGAAGGAAAATCCAGGCAGACAGGGGTACCAGACTGGCAAGAGAGGTTTTCACCAAGTTCCAGTGATAGTTTGAGCCTGCGGATTTCTGCATCTGGGAGCTGCCAGTCTCCCTGGCTGCCCAACTCCCGAGTGACCCAGAGTGCCCTGAAGATCCAGGAAATTGCTAGTCTGTGATAAAGTCCGAACTTGGCATTCTCTCTGTTTGACTCATGCCCCTGTCCCCACTTGTCACCTCTGCTGTCTCTTTGGCTCTGCACCTCAGCAGGGAGGAGCCCTGATGGCGCAGCAGCTGCAGCCCTTCACCAAAAGTTCTGCGCACCACCGAAGAAGAGAAGTAGAACAGCAGCGGGTCCAGGGTGGCATTGAGAGAGCTGAACACCACAGCCTCCTTCCGCCACGGGGGGCTTTCTCTTAAGAAAAACCCCACCAGGTGTGACAAGTTGTAAGGTCCGAAGCACAGGAGGAAGTTGAGCAGGGTCACGACAGCCAGTCCCACGGCTCGCCGCCGCCTCTGGGTTCCCACATGAGGCTGGGTAAGCATAATCCACACAAAGCGCCAGTAGCAGAAGATGGTGACCGCCATGGGGATGAAGAAGAGGACCAAGCACAGCTCCAGCCGCACGGGCAGCACCAGGTCCAGCTGCTCTTTCGTGAAGTTCTGATAGCAGGTGACTTCGTTTCCATCTCTCACCTGCTCGGTTGAATTCAAGTACTGAACAAAGATCACAATGGTGCAGTGACCGAAGGACAGGATCCAGGCTACCAGAGCAGCGATCACTCCGTATATAGGCCGCCGAGAGAGCTTGTACTGCACAGGGAAGGCCACTCCCAGATAGCGCTCGATGCTGATGCCTGCCAAGAGCCACGTGCTGCAGTAGATGCTGCTGTAGAAGCCAAACCCAGTGAGGGCGCAGACGATCTGAGGCAGATACCAGCGGAAGTTGGACGCAGCCTCAATGATCCGAAAGGGCAGCAGCAGCAGCAGCAGGAGGTCAGCCATCGTCAGGCTGAGCAGGAGGATGTGCACGGGCGCAGGCTGGGGCTGGCGGACCCGCCCCACAAAGGCCCGCAGGGCCAGGAGGTTGGCGGGGAGGCCAATAAGGAAGATGAGGAGGTAGGCTGTGAGGATCAAGGAGCTGTGCCAATCAAGCATCATTCTGGAGGAGGATGGAAAAGTGCAGAGTCAGGAGGCCCCACTTACAGCCTGCAGACTGTCCTCCTCTGGTTCAGGATGCAGACATCCTCCCCGGCACGCTCCCCTTCCTCCCAGCCCAAAGCTTTCTGCTGCCACCACTGCTTGCTCACACCACCTGCCAGAACTGCCCAGAGCAATTATTGACTTTGCCTTGGGCGGGATATTAAGCAGCATTTATTACTTTTGCCATCCTGAGTCTCTGGGGGAGACCAACCCTCGGCTCCCCAAGGGAATTCCCCCTCCAGTTTCCCTGGCCTTTCTCCTACTGACCTCACAGATACAGGAAGTTACTGTTACCAGTTTCCATCTTGAGCCTGCAGGAGAGGAAGGCATCACAGCCAGGAGAGGGCTACAAGGCACGTTTCAGGATCAGGAGACAGAGAGCTCAGGCACTGTGGACTCTGGGCTGGCTGTCCCGGCTCCCAGCCTACCTCCCTACCCTCCTATCCTCTCCTTCTGCAGAGCACAATTTTCCTCCACCTTATTCAACCCTATTCAACTACTCTGAGATGTTATTGCAAAGGGGGATCTGGGGCAGAGTGGGAAGAAGCTAGCACTATGCTTTGGAGCTCATCCCCCAGAGACTATAACAAAGATGTTCAGAAAAGCCCACAGACTACTACGGAGCCTGGTATTTCACCTATAAATAGAAGAACTCCAATTCTTCCTGGGGTGACTCAGTTTCCACTGGATTGGTAACCCTTGCTGCCTACACACATCCATCCTCTCTGGATTCCCCAATCAGAGGTTCCCTGCCCTGCACACAGGATAGCTCCTGCCTCTGGGGTCTGACCCTATTATTCCAGTTTCTCCAGCACCGCCCCCCAATGCCTTCCTGTCAAAGTTTGATCCTGCAGTCAAGTCCCAGAGCACCAGCGCTAGGTTAGCCATCTTGCCTTGTCTTTGTTCTTGATAGATGGCTTCTTGGGGTTAGTCCTGAAGGCAAGTCTGGTAGCCGAGGGGAAAGAGGAACAGCACTTTAGCTACAGCCACTGCCCATTTCACACAGGAAAGTATTGCAAGGGACCTGGCTGGTGGAAAGCTTTTATACCTTTGGGGTCACGTGACCAGACCAGAGAAAAGAAGCACTGTTTCCTCCCAAGCCCAAAGTATAGGGCCTCTGCATCTCCATTCTTTCCCTGGAGAGCCTCTCTCTGACTCCCAAACACAGATTTTTCTGTCCTGACTTCCTGTTTGTTTTTTATTTTAACCCCACTCATTTTTACCACGTCCCAAGTCAAATTCTCTTCTTTTCTCTTTACTAGGCATTTTCTTCTGTTAGTACCTACACTGCCAATTTCATTATCAGAAAATGAGTTTCCTGCTTCCTTTTATTCTTCTCTTTTCTCTTTTTTTGTATGTATGATCTCCTGCCCTACACCATAACAATTTTCCTGTGCCTCTCAGATGAAACAGATTGGTTCTAGGATCCTAGCTTCTGTCTTATTATGGTAGAAATAGCATGGGATTTAAGGTCATGAAGATGTCGGCTCAAGTCCAAGTCCTTTTATTAGGGCTCTGGGGAAGTTCAATTTTCTGAACTTTTGCTTCCTTTTCTGTCAAGTAGGCATGGGAATATTAACCTCACAGGATTTCTGAAAGGACTTGATGAGATTGCAGATACAAAGTGCATAGTCCGGGGTTTAGCATTTAGTGGATGCCCTTACATTCATCCTCCTTTCAAGCCTGTTGGGCAGATTCATACACTAAGAGCCTGGAGGCTCCATTGCCCACCTTACTGGGAAATTGTTAGGAATCCAGGAGACCCAAGTTCAGGTGCCTATATGGTTCTTCACAGGGTTGAAGAACTGGTCCTTTCTCTCTTATATTCCCACTCTTGGGATGAACTACTCTTGTTCTTTTCTGTCTTTCCCCCTTTCTGATCTGCTTAGAGGTCCAGGTTAAAAACTTCTGTGTCCTTTTACAGTACGCACCCAAGAAATCCAGGTGTGGTGGTCCATGCCTGCAATCCCAGCAGCAATAGCTAAATTGCTATGAGTTTGGTACCAACCAGGGCTACATGGTAAGGCCAGCCTGAAGCACACAGGGAGACCCTGTCTCCAAATACAAACAAAGAAAAAAAGCAATATGCACCCAAGGAAATCAGACGGTCACAGCATGATTCTCTGTTATTTCTGTAGTGCAGGAGATGAAACCCAGGGCTTTGTGCATGCTAGGAAAACCTTCTCCCACTGAACCAAACCCTTAGCCCCACATTTTCCTTCTGGTCTAGGGAATGGGTGTTTCTTTTGATGTCTGGGGTCTGATCCCTCCTTATAGAATCTCTGTTCTTTCCCTAAGACATGCTGATTCCCTAGTGATTTCTCATTCATTCATTCCTTTTACTCTTTTTGTGGCCTAGGACCTTGGATTCAGATACCTTAATATTTAGTTTTTCATTCACTTCAGCTCTGCTGTCTTCTAGAGCTAAGGAGTTTTCCCTCTTCTTTTATTGCCTTTTCTCTTTCCTTGGATAGCTCACCTTACCCTACTCATCTCCTTAACATTAGAGCTCCATAAAACCTAGTTCTAAGCCCAGTTTGACGTCACATGTCTGTAATCCAGCTACCCAGGAGGCTGAGGAAGGACGACTGTACGTCTGGGCTGGCCAGTGTGGACAACTTAGTGAGATTTTGTTTCAAAAGAAAATTTTTTAAAGAAAAGGGATGAGGCTGAGAATGCTCGGAATGATTCTCAGTGGCAGACCAGGCACAGTCCTTGGGTTCAATCCTCATTACAACAGCAGCAGCAGCAGCAGCAGCAGCAACAACAACAACAACAACTATAAACTTGATTCTAGAGTCTCTCCTACTTCCATCCTCTGCACTTATCTAATCCATCACATGAACATGACATATCTTTCCACTTATTTAGGTCTTTAATTTCCTTTGGCAATGCTGCCTAGTTTTTAATCACAGGAGTTTTGTATGTCTTTTCTTAAGTTGATTCTGAAGTGTTTTGGAAGTGATTGCAAATTTAATTTTTTTAAAATTTTATTTTCCAATTGTTTGCTGCTCTCATTAACATCTCTTAGTATCCTTCCTTGCAGATATCTGAGTTTATCATAATCCATTTATTACAGTGGGGATTTGTATTGAATAAGCATAAAGTCCAGCCCCCCCCTTATGACAGCCCATTAAGGCAGGGAGCTTGGCCCTTTTGCTAACCACTGTATTCCCAGGGCCTGGCCCGGAGCCTGACATGGTTCAGGCACTCTATAACAATTTCCTAGATGATGAACAGATGGATAAATGGAAGAATTAGAAGCGGGTGGGGGGATGATGGTGTTCAAAACTTCAGAAGTGTTTGTCCTTAGATGCTTCATTTATCTGCTTCTGAGAGTTGATAGGAAATTCCAGCTAATAACTACTTGAGAACTCTTGTGGATTAAAGCACTCCCCCACCCAAAAAGCCATGGGAATCTTTCTCTGTGGTCAATATTGATAATTTAGGTGAATATACATTTATTATATAGATTCCCCTTGCTAAATAATGAGAAGGTAAAAATAAGAGACTTTATAGGATAAAGGGGAATAATGGATTTCACCACTTGTGATATGAACAATAAACAGTTATTGTTTCATTCATTTATTCATTCACTCACTCACTGTATAAATCAGTCTACCCCCAGGACAGTGGTGACGAACCTATAGCACACCTGCCACAACAGGCTCTTTGTACCACTGAAAGTTCTAAAAAGTTCACCGTCGCTGCCCTAGGCTGTGCCAGGGTCTGTGCCAAGCATTGGAGATACCAGAACACATAGACATGGTTTTGCAATTAAAAGTTATGTTCCAACGAGGGAGATAGACAATAAACAAGTAAATATGAACACAGGAGCACTCACACAGTGACGTGCACTATGGAGGAAAGAAGCAATGTGATGGGAAAGGGAGGGCAGTCAAGGACTGGCAGGGCTTCTTGAGTCGGGCTCGAGGACCATCTGTGAGCTTACTGTAGAGCTGAATTCTAAAAGGGGCTGTGAAACCATGGTCAAGGCCAAAGAACAGAATGCAAGGCAGAAAGCATCTCTATGTGGCAGGATCAGAGGACCGGAGCAGTGGGAGCACGGTGAGCAGGAGACGAAGTTCTATGGCACCTTTCTGATGGCGTGAAACATTCGGGTTCCATCCTTAAGCAGTGGGAAGCCACTTGGGGCCCTAAGAGAGTTGCATGATGTGATTTTGATTTTAGAGGATCCAGTCCTCTGCTAAGTGAAAAGTGGTCTCCAAAGGGATGAATTGGAAGCAGAAAGATCAGCTAGGGAAGATTCTTGCATACCTGAGGTGGATGGGGTATGGATTAGGGAGAACGTAGCAGTGGATGCAGAGATGACCATTTGGGATTCAGTATACCTATCTTGAAATAAATAATAAATGAAGGATGGAGAAATGGGACTCTTCCAGGAAAAAAGAAGGAAAGTGATTCTAGGCCATATGTTCAAGTGGGTTCTAAGATGTTTTTGTTCTACTGTGCCATACAGTTCACTCTGCTTCCGCTTCTGTATTGCTCTCTTTGAGTCCCTGCAGTGGCTTCACCAGGGCAGATCATTCTGCTGTGGAGGTGACAGTTTATGCCCTCTGGCATTTGCATGTCCTCTGTAGTTGCCACTTGAACAGCCCTTCCTCTGTCATTCAAATAGTGCTGTCCTCCAACTCTGCAGTCTTCACACAGCCCACCTCCAGTGTTGCAGAAATGAAGGAGAGCATCTCAGAGTGGCATCTTGGGAGTATGCTGTGAACCCTGCCTGTAGAGTGGGAATCTGGAAGTTGTTACCACCCACTGCTGATCACCATAGCCCAGCCTCCCTCTGCAGAGACCTCCTTTCCTTCACTCTCTGTTCAACTGCTTCCTGTGAATGACACCACTCCTGGCCGATAATACCAGCTGGGATGGCTGCATAATGGCCCCCTCCAAAGTCCTTCACATCCTAATCCCTAGAACTTGGGAATGCTACTTCACATGGCCAAAAGGACTTTATAGATGTGATTATGAACTTGAGATAGGGAGACGATCCTGGGTTATCTAAGCTGGCCCTAAATGGAATCATAAATGTTCTTATAAGAAGGAGGCAGAGGGTGGCTTCAGACAGACAGAGAGGAGAAGATGGTAAGATCATAGAGGCAGACATGGAGTGATGTGGCTACAAGCCAAGGAATAGCAGCAGCCACCAAAAGCTGGAAAAGGCAAGGAATGGATTTTCCCCTAGAACCTCCAGAAGAAGGGATAGTCCTTCCCATACCTTGTGCTCCATCCCACCCAAACTCTTGGCTTGAGTCACCCCAAAAGTGACATCAAGGAAGTTCCCACAGGCAGTTACCCAAATGTCCTGACATGGACCAGCTGGGATTTCAAAGATAGAATGACTAACTTTCAAATGGTCAAGTCCACAGAATTTCTTCTGGGAACTTCCAGAGCAGGCTGTGTTGTCCTTGTGATGGACAGCAAGAGAAAGGACTTAGGTGTGTCCTCCATGAGAGGGTAGAGTGCTGGGGTTAGATAAAAGTTTAAGGAATTTGGCTTAAGGATGAAGCTATTCTCTTTCAGTATTTTGAGCCATAACTTGTACACCTTTATCAGTACCTGGGAATGTTCAGGGTCCTGGCTTTGGTCCCTGCAGGGAGAATATGCTGCTGGATAGGTCACAGATTGATTAAGGTGCTCTGGGTTGGAAGGTCAGGACTGAGAAAAACTGCAGGTGGAGAGACCCTACACCTTCATTGCAGGCCAGTGACAGTGACTTCAGATTTCTGGCCTCCAGAACTGTGGGATAATACACTCCTGTTGTAGGTAGCTGTGAGGACATGCACCTGTGATCCCAGTAAGCTGGGAGGTTGAGGAAGGAGGACTGCAAGTTTGAGCCCAGCCTGGGCAAGTTGGGGAGATCATCTCAAAATAAAACACTAAAAAAGGGCTGGTGATATAGCTCAGTGCAAAGACTCTGTGTTGAACCCTCAGTAACACACACATACACACACAGATGAGAAATAAAGTATGAAGCCTTGTAAAGACACGGAGGAACCTTAAACACATATTGCTAAGTGAAAGAAGCCAACCTGGAAAGGCCACATATTGCATTCCAATTATGTGACATTCTGGTTCACTGATTACTTGAACAGGGTAAGGGATGAATAAATCAAGCACAGAGGATTTTCAGGGCAGCAACACTTTTCTGTATGATACTACAGTTGTCAATACATGTCCTTACACACTTACCAAAACTCACAACTGTTTGGATGTGGTGGTGCACCCTGTAATGCCAGCACTCTGGGAGGCTGAGGCAGGAGGATTGTAAATTTAAGCTCAGCCTGGGGCAACTAAGTGAGACCCTATCTCAAAATAAAGCATAGAAAGGCCTGGGGATATAGCTCAGTGCAAAGGCCTTGTGTTCAATCTCCATTATCTGAAAAAAAAATCATAGATACATTTTTATTATTTTAAGCCACTAAGTTTGTGGCACTTTGTTACAGCAGATGTAGGAAACCAGTATATCAGTCAACACTCACTGCCCATTCTGTGACACCAAGTGCCAGGTCCCATGCTAAGATCTTATGAAGAGAAACTCATTTAACCCTTAAAATATTCTCTGGACTTGGCACACTCATCCCCTTTTACAGATGAGGAAACTGAGGTGTAGAGAGGTTGTTAGGTAATTTGCCTGAAGTCTCATCTGGTAAATGGAGGACTGAACTCTGAACTTGGGACTTGAATGTAGTTTCCATGGTCCTCACATGACGCTGAGCTCCCCACTGTCCAGGAAGGGCCCTGGGTAAAGGAGGAGGAGACAAGGGCCCTGATGCATCTGCACAGTCGGAAGCTTCCCTGCCAGTGGGTCCTCCATGTTCCCCAGCAGCACAGGGCATGACCTTCAGCCCCAGGATCCCAGGGTCCAGGCAGCTCTCAATCTTTCTCATGCTACAGTGCTTGCTCTGTTGCCAGATCCCAGACAGGATGGTTTTCCATTCCTCCTCCCTCCCCTTCTCCAAACACTTTGGATACATAGGGAATAGACAGAGGACAGCATCGACCGTTTCTCTGTACCCAGCTTACCATATCATTTAGCTTTTATGGTTTCTATAAATGTTTATAAGGACCTGAATTTGACTGTGAAACAGAACTAAGGACTTGGGAGGTTGACTTTCTCCTGGAACCCAGGAGAGGACTTCTGACCACTTGCTTCCTCCTGTCCCCCTTCTCCATCTGCTGTCTGTGCCCAGCTGGCCTTCAGACCAGGAAGGGGACCGAAGCGCCCCACCCTCTAAACACACAGGGCTTCCGGGCCAGACCCCCAGCCAGCTTTCATGGCTTACATAGCCCTTGGGAAAGGCCAGAAGGCAGCTGGCTGCTTCCCTGGTGGCCTTTCTGTGTTGACCTTGAGCAAAGGAGGAGAGGCGGGAGAGTTTCCGGACGTGGAAGTGGTGCGGATTCCTTGGGGCGAGCCGGATGGGTCAGGTGCTGGCTGATCCTGCAAAAGGTGAGCCCAACTGAGGGCAAAACTGGTCCCTCTGCTTTCCTTTCTCATGGTAGCGCCCTCTGTTTTCCTGCGTCGTGGGTTTCTAGCACATCCATGATTCATTTTCCTCTAGTAGTTGTGACATTTCTGGAGCCACCAAGGTTTCTGGTACAGTTTGCAGAATCATAGGGAACTTGAATTAGACCACTGCTTCTCCAGAGGCATGAAGAGGGGATGAGAAACTCCTAGGCATGTGTGTAGAGGGGAGGAGAGATCCTACATGTGGTTCAAGAATGCCAGGCTGCCTGTAATCCCAACATTCCTGGAGGCTGAGGCAGGAGGATGACAAGTTTAGCCCATCCTGGGCAACTTTGTGAGACTTTGTCTCAAAACGAAAAATAAAAAAGGGCTGGAGATGTAGTACAGTGAAAAAGCCCTGGGTTCAATCCCTAGTGTTGAAAAAAAAAAAAAGACAATGCTAGGAAATTTCTGAGGGGAGCAAAAAGCCCTGGTTTTCTCAATACAAACTAGAAAGTAAAATTTGTGCTTACATAAAACAGGAACTGGTTAAAGAAAGATTGAGAAACAGTGATGCAGTTGGCGTAACCCTTGAAGACTGGCCCTCAGACACGTTTAGATAAACCAGGGTCCTCCGTACGCAGAGCTACACTCACAGCCCTCTCTGCCAATGGGGGTTTGCACACCAGCAGGGCACAGTGCAGTGCAATGCAGAGGGCTAGGGGTAGCGTGCAGATGGAGTTTTAGTTTGGAGGCTCTGGCAGGGGTCCCATTTTCTTCTCCCTTGGCCTTTGCTGTGCCACGATCTGAAGCCACACAAAATCAGCATCCAAAGTCCCCTTCCGGCTGCACAATTTTTTGACACTTACTAAGATCAAAGCCACTTATCTAAGTGAGAGATTGTCGATATGTGCCCCAAATCCAAACACCAAAGGCTTAAGCACATAGAGGTTTGTTTTTCTCGTGTAACATGACAGAAATATGTGCCTGGGCTTGCATGGCTGCTCAGGATCATAGCTTCTGCCTCACCTTCCCTAGACTTTGGTTTTGGCTTCATGATCACAAGGATCTTTCTTTTCTTTCTTTCTTTCTTTCTTTCTTTCTTTCTTTCTTTCTTTCTTTCTTTCTTTCTCTCTCTCTCTCTCTCTCTCTTTCTTTCTTCCTTCCTTCCTTCCTTTCCTTCTTTCTTTCCTTCTTCCTTCCTTCCCCTCTTTCTTTCTTTCTCTCCCTTTCTTTCTTTCACAGCACTAGGGATTAAACACATTGCACTGAGCTACATCCCTTTTATAAATTTTGAGTCATGGTCTCACTGAGTTGCTAACTTGCCCAGACTGGCTAAAATTGCAATTCTAGTGCCTCAGCCTCCCAGAGTTCTGGGTTTGCAGGCCTGGGCCACCATACTTTGCAGAGAGGGTCTACATTCAGAGCAAAAAAACAGGGATAGGGAGAACAGAAAACAAGAGACACGTGGGAGCTGAATCTATCCCTCTCTTAAATCATGAGAATGATGGGTTGACTAGAAGCCACACACAGGGGAGTTCTGCTGGCTTTTCACTGCGTCCCCTGACAACTCCCAGCTGCAAGGGCCTGGGAAAGTGAATATTCATTGAGCACATCCCCAACTTGACAAAACAGGGGTTGGGTTGGTTAGTAAGGAAAAGGGAGAGGACCCCCAAATTATATAAACCTTGAATAGCAAACATGAGGAGCAAAAATCTCTAGGGCCGACATAGACAAAGTACATAAGAAGCTGTAAGATTTTAGATGTTTTATAAATTGTCATTACTAGTATACAATATACAGAAAAGAAAGCACACTAATCTTAGGGATAGTGGATAGTGACCACATCTGCACTACATTTGTGTAGCTACCACCCGGGTCCAGAGATAAATCTGCTTTTGGTGCCCCTTTCCGTTGTCAAACCACCCAAGATAACCACTATTCTGACTTCTGCTGCGCAGAGAAGGGGATTTACCATCCTAGGTGTTAGAGAAGAGGTGATCTGTGGAGAAGAAAGAGAGGAAGTGAGAGACCACACTTGCTATTACTGCTGTCCTCTGCCCCTTAAATTATTCTAATTCCCTTCGCACAGCCTCCCTCTCAAATGTCACCAGAAACTGAGGGTTGCTAGTTTCATTTTCTCTGATGTGGTTCTGTGTGAAAGCTTCTAATCAGTGAGAACTGGGTTCTGCTGGCTGTGAGAGAACGACCCCAAGTAATACTGCTGTAAGTGAGGTAGAGTTCTGCTCTTCTGCCACATATAGTGGGAGCAGTCTGCAGGGATGCAGTGCGGGCAGCCCTTGACTGTCTTTGGCAACCCCAGGAAGATCCCAAAGGCCCATCTTCCTTCTGGGTCCCTGCTCTACAAACCCTAGGATGGCCCTGGCTCTCACAGTTAGTCCAAAATTGAAGCTGAAGCCCCAACCATCACATCTGTATTCCTGGAAACAAAATGGAAAGAAAAAAAAGAGAAGAAACACACTCACCCCTTCTCATTTTGAGAGATTTCTCAGAGGTTCCAGTTCTGCTAATAACACATTGGCAAGAGCTTATTCAAATGGCCACACCTCACTGCAAAGAAGTCGGAGTGCAATGTGCTGCTAGAAATCGAGCTTTAAAAAGAGTTAAGGGCAGAAGCTGGTAGTCTCTTCCAAACTACACTTTTGCAACTTTTGTAGGTAAACCTTCCCACCCAGATTCTGCATCTTTGCGGTGTGTCCCCAAAGGCCTCCTGGGCACCTCAGGAAGCCCCGGCCCTGCTTACCCCATCCACTCTGGGCTTCTCAGGAAAATGGGAGGATTTCCCGGCAGATGGGAAAGAATGCACCACCCAGAGCACAGCGGCCAGACTGTTGTCAGACTGCCTGGCTCGGCAGTGCCTCCCAGCATCGGACGCACATGATCTAAGCCAAGTTCCATTAACAGCAGTCAGTTCTGTCTCAGAGACAGAGAATCAGATCTGAGCATTTCGCTGAGGGCCACCCCAGCCAATATAATTAGGCAAACCTGAGATTACGTGTATCTGTATTTTCTGTGATACAAGCACCACTTACTTTTTAATGTAAGAACTCACTTAATCCCAGCGCTGGGGGACAGAAGCCAGGGGGCCACTGCCAAAGCAGCTGCCACCCTGCATGGTGGATGGTGGGGTGCCTGTGTGGACTGGCTGTGTCCTTCAGTGCCAGGCCAGCCAAGAGCCGTGGGCCACAGTGGACACTGCTGCAGGAGCAGAGGCAACAGCAAGCAGAGGGAGAGCTTTGCTCCGACATCAGAAAGAGGTCAGGGCCTCTGGGGTGGGAGTGGCAGATCTGGCCACACTCAGCCGAGGACAGGATGAGGCTGTCAGGCTTGTCAGGAGTGACGAGAAAAGTGGAAGCATATGACGCTCGCTGAGAATGTTCTGCCTGAGTTGAGGTCAGATTTCCCACCCTGTGTCTCTCTGACACCTGCTTTAGCTCCCTTCTTAACCTCGATTTCTCTGCTTTCCACGAGTATTCTCCCTAGACAAGAAGCGCTCTTACAGGATTTTGAGGCTTTGGAGGTGCCCTGTAACCACATGAAGTGACAGCAGACGTGATAGCCTGTGGGTTGCACCAATGCTCCAGCCTGTCTTCCCATCACAGGCACCTTCTGGGCTCTGCTGAGCGGGATGGACTGGGTTTGAGGGAGGACGCTAGTTTGCCAGCTCTCTTCCTACACGGCAGCTTCTGGCCAGGTAGGACACTGGCCACTGCCCGGATCTCCAGGCTGCTCTGAGCGCCTTAGCTGACCATACGTGCCTATAGCAGAGCCCAGGGCTGGGGTCAGGGGAGCCACAGAAACAAAGGAGGCAAGAGCAAGTTCCCAAGCACAGGAGGAGGGAGTTTGGGTCGCCATGGTGACACTGCTTCTCTCTGCTGTTCCCGGGCTGCACTAGGATGGGGGCCTTTCTTGCTCCCTCTGGACAGCATGCTAAGATACCCATGATGATAGTGACTTTGTACTGGCCTCCTGTATCCACGCCTTTCTTTGTTTCCTTAAACTCACAAAGGTCTTTTCTTTTTTCTTTCTTGAAAGCTGGTCTTATTAAGTTGCTAAGTTGTCCAGGCTGGCTCAAGCTTGAGATCCTCCAGCTTCAGCCTCCCAGGGAGCTGAGAAGACAGGTGTGTGCCACCATACCCATCCGTTCTATTTGGTGTGACCTGGAACCATGGACTGCACTACTAACCTCTAATTGCCCTGTACCAATGGGTGTCAACCCATTTAAGGGGCTGCTGAGTTAGAGGAAAGCTGGGCAACAACGTGCCTCTCTGTCCTGAACACGGATGGACCCAGCTATGTGGTATCCCCTCTGGCCTGGCAGCAGTACTGACTGAGCCTCTGCCTCCATTCGCAATCACACCCATCCTCTTTCTTCACCATTGCTCCCCATCAGATTGTCCCCACCAGTGGTACCCTCCAGGAGTCTCCCACAAGACCTAGCACTTCTCCAGGTCACACTGCTTGGATGGTGAAGTGCTTTCCACAGAATATCCAGGTAAACCCCTCAGAGTTCTGTGAAAAGGACAGCCCTGAGGCAGGCGTGCTAGTGCATGGACCTCTGTAATCCCAGTACTCTGGGAGGGTGAGGCAGGGGGATCCTAAGTTCAAACCCAGCCTGGGCAATTTAGGGACTTAGCAAGCTTCAGTCTCAAAGTAAAGAATTTTTAAAAAGAGCTGGGGAGATCACTCAGTGTGAAGGTCCTGGGTTCAATCCCCAGTATAAAAAAGAAAAATACTCAGGCATGTGCCTTGACTACTGGTCATTCAAAACGGCAGGGAACATTTGTCTTCATAGGAGTCACTTGTCATGGATAAGAAGAGCAGTAGGTGAGCTTTCTCAAAGCCAGCTTCACCCCTCGCTTTCTCCCCAAATCCCCGCCTCTACAAATCTAATTGTTCTCCCTCAGAAATCCAGACTGTGATCTCTCCCAGGCCTCCTTTCACATCTGGAGTCCCCACAAGCCACTCTTCTGGAAGATTCTTTCTCATCATTTTCCCTCACCCCCCAGTTGTTCCCGGCCACTGCCCTCGGGTCCTTCTTCACCACCCTTTCTATTCCCTACCCCTTTCCCGGACTTCGTCAAGTTCCTGCTCCTTCTCCCAGCATGACCCAGCCAGGGCAGGTTAAAGTCCCCGGGTTTGTGTCACCTTTCATAAAAACTGGCACTGTTGACCTTCAAGTCCACAGGCTCCCGCCGGCCCAGAAAAATATCCCGGGCCAGGTGGCCCCACATGGCCCATGAAGTCGAAGGGCTCGGGCTGAGCTTTTCTCCCACACCACCTGTCTTTCCCGGTGGCCTCCGCCAGGTCCCTGTGCCCCCTCCTCTCCTCTCACCAGGGTCTGCTCTCTGCGCCTCCGACAGCCACAGGTGCTCCCCAGAGTCCCTCAGATCAGGTAAGTGAGGCACAGGGTCAGCCCGATCACACAGCTTCATCTCTCCGCCACGCGGCAGGTACAGAGCATTGAACAAAGCAGATGTGTTCTTGTCTTTATGGAATTTACTTTCTAGGTGGTGGGAGGGATGAGAATATACAACAGTATCTGCACGGGTATAAACAGTAATTTATTGTCATGGCATGTTCCACAAACAACATAAAACAGGAAGATGTAATAACCATGAGAAAGGGGTTGGTGTGCTTTAACTGGACGGCAGAGAAGTGTTTCTGAACGGTGACAGCTGAGCTGAGGTCTAAAGGAGTTCTCCACATGAACAGCAGAGGGGAGGACACTGTGGGCAGACAGGACAGTTCCTCAGAGCCAAGGCCCTGAGGCAACACAAAGGTGTACATGATGGATGAATGGGGCTTTGCACATTCTAGGCCAGCATTAGTTCTTTCACTGAGCTACACCCCAGCGCCTGACTGGTGGTTTTTAAAGAGCCCTGTGGTGCGAAGGTGTCTTCCTGCTCCTATGTCTGTCTGAGTGCACATCTTCTGCCCAGTCATCAGGGGAGTCCTCTAATGATTCAGGAAGCCATTCTAGAAGCCGTTTGTCCCATTTGGTTATTTGTCCTTCCGTTCTCTCTGTCTCCAGGCCTCCTTGTCATCCCACACGCACCACTTTCTAGATGAGTCTAGGTTCTTTGTATCTCTTGACAAACTACACTTGCACTGTTTTACTTCTATTATTTCCTTAGGTGTTCATGGCATGCAGATCTGAGCGAACACCACAAACTTCCTGCAAAGGAAATGTTGGGGACGGAAGTACTGCTGCTCTCCTTAAGCTCTTTCTCACCTCATTCCCCACCCACTCTTGACATACAGAAGTGACCACAGGCCATGACTGTGACTGAGGACTTGGGGGCAGAAGCCAAGCACAGTGCTTCCCATGACTCTGGGACCCCTGCAGCTCCCTCCTTTCCACTCTGGCCAGCTAGAGGTATCCGCATTGCACTCCTGTCCAGGTGGTGAGCTGGATAAGCAGGATGAGAAAGGTAGCTCCAGGCCAGAGGGTCCTTCCTGCTTTCCGGCTGGCCTCGCTTCCTTCCCTCTTTTACAACTCTCCTGTCTGATAAGCTCTGGGAAACTCGCGCTTCCATGACGCACCGGGCCTCTGTCTCCCATGTGTATCTTCCCAGTACTTCCCGGGGAACAGTCCCGAAGATGACTCCAGCTGGCCTTCGGAGTATTCAGGAAGTTTTACACAGGCTGGTGTTTGTTTCAGCCTCACCGGCCTATCCTCTTTAGAAGAAGAGGGCGGGAGGCCGTATCTGGGTAGAGAGAGCTCATGGGAAGGGATAGGAGTCAGTACCGTGAAGAGGCATACAGACATTCCTCATTTCATGCAGAATCTGTTCCTGCGACTAGGTCATTACGTGAATTGGTCGTTAAGTGAGGAATTATATATGGTACTGTATGTCTCTTACAATATTCAGAACAAAGAAATGGTCAAAGGAAACTCCAGTTTGAAGACTTTGCTTTTATTTGCATAGCTCTCACGTGCAGTACTGTAATGCATGGCAGAACAAAAAACTACAGTACTGTACTGCGCAGTACAATCAGCAAAAATACAGTACAGTATAAACTAGGTGTACTGTACAAAAGAAGACATTGAAGCTCTATAAATAAGATATACAGAACTGTACAAAAAAAAAAAAAATACAAGTGCCAGGCATGGTGGTGCATGCCTGTAATTCTAGCACTTGGGAGGCTGAGGCAGGAGGATCATTGCGAGTTCGAGACAAGCCTGGGCTAGAAAGTGAGCTCAAGCCCAGCCTGCGGTGCATAGCAAGACCCTGTCTCAAAAAGAAACAAATACAAGTTGTAAAGCCAAGTGATGGGTTGTAAGTTCAAACAGCATGCTTCAGTAGTAAGTCCAAACAGTCGTTAAACAGATACTTAAATGAGGAATATCTGTATTTCATATAACTGTACATTCAAAAGAAATGGAAACAGTTGTTTTCATGATACAAACCAGTGAACCTGAGCTTTTGGATCATTTTTGCTTAGCAGTTGAGAAGTCCAGAGGAGGCAAGTAAGCATTCCAAGCCCATCTCAAAGAAGGGAGCTGCCCCCAAAGTCTTTAGGCCAGGCTTCCGGCTCCTTCCACAGTGCAGATTCTGTCCCATTTCTGTCCGGTTCAGCACCTCCTCAGTCACCAGAACCATCCGCAGCCTGCAAGGGAATGCACGGAGACTTAAGCGCTTGGGTTTTGGTGTCACACGAGCTGGACTCGAATCTCAGTCCCCTCCCATTGCTAGCTCCATGGACCTTGGCAAGTTACTTAACCTACAGTTAATCCATGCAACGCTGGCTTCCAAGGTCTGTGAGCCTGTGCTCTGGAGCCAGCAATATGGGATGGAAGCCTGGCTGTGTAGCCTTGGGCAAGGTTACT